ACGCATCACTCAAATCAAGAAATATTTTACCATTCAACTATTTACTTCGTGTAGAATCAGTACTGAAAGTATTGTCGAAGGGTTCATGTGCACTTTAAAAGGTATGTCTTAACTAGGCTTTTATATTCAATCAATTCAATTTGTCAATCAAAAAACGAAACCGTGACGTTTTTTCCTCGTTATTAAAGCGTCTCAGTTCTTAGCAATCTTAACCTACATTTATTAAAACAAATCTTTTGATATTTATTCTGTTAAGTAAAGCCGAGCAAACATTCACTATGATGCGAAAAAATAATTTTTAACGTTTAATTGTTTTTAGTTATAATGGTAAAGATCGCGTGAGCATTGTGACGAATTAGTGCATTTCAACGAAGGTAGTCATGTAGGATTCATGAATAACTATTGTTCATATTGTTTTGATCTGCTTGGTTGATGAACACGTCAGAGATATGAAAATTGGCCAACTTTCTTTTCTTGGTAAACAGTTGCGTTCAAAATGAATGGATGAATAAATTGGATGAATAATTGATGGTCAAATCTCACATCACATTTATTAGCACGATAACATTCTTTGAAAATAATTCTGCTATACTATACGATACTCTCTTGTCGTATAGTGCAGCATTTTCGGAAACCATGACTACGTATAATATATAGCTAATTTACTACCGATCTCATCGTTATGAACAGCTAATATTCTTAGTTACCTAGATACCTATAGTCAATTAGACAAACCATTGAATTTAAATCCAGCTGAGTAAATCTTAGCAGATATTTTATAGAAAATCAAGTAGCTGTTTAATAATTTCGAGTTGAGCGTAGAAGTTGGTGTAAATATGGGTTTGAAGAATATTGTTGCTAAGATTATTGACCTTGTACTAGGTTCATAGCGAAATTTTAGTTAAGAAGAAGTAGAAGAAGAACAAGAAAAAGAACGAGAACAAGAAGAAGAAGAAGAGTTATAAAGAAAATGTTATCCAGCATAAATTAAAGTTTTAAAACTACTCTATTTTCCTTCAAATTTTGCCTAGATTGCTGAGTATTTACGAATTATTTCAAATTTGAAAAAAAGTCGTCTGAGCATCCGTGATTTTTTGAATGTCCAGATTAATCTGTATTATAGAGTGACCTCGGCCCGCTTTTAATCACCGGATACGGAGAGTAATAACTACCACGGTACAGTCGGTTTTACAAATTTAATGATTACAATCTCTGATTAAATCTATAAAATCTATAATATTTATCTCGATAACTTTTACTAAGACATCAACTGCAAATTTAAAACTCAGATACAAACTTCTAAGTTTCAAAATATACGAGAAAAAAATGTCTTTGAAACAGCCGCGATTTTTTACTACAGCAAAACTCAAACTGACAAAACACTTATAATAACTTAAAATTAAAAAAGCGTTACATATCCTCTGGGAGGAACCTATTCTTAATGCACAAGTCAAGCATGTTAACCTTAAGCTATCCGCGTCGGGGTGTTCTGACTTTTATGTTAATCTTATTGTTCTCGTTTCTCATATTTATAGCTGACCGCTAATTAGTCTTACGTCCACTAATGATGGCAGAGTTTACTGCCGAAACATATATGTTAAACTCAAAAGTGTAGTTCTGTTCTTAAAATGCTTAACTTCATTGCCCAGGGGGTGTACTCGGGTGGGCAACATGACGGGGAGGTCTGACGTATTTTTTGGGTTGACAATTTTCATTCCCGGTATTTTTTTGGATCAAGAGACCACCCTCGTATTTTTTAAGTCTCGAAATGAAACCCCACATCTCCGAGTTCGATTTTTGTATCAGAAAATTAGTTTTTTTTCCAGCAAGGCGCAATCCATTAAGTTGTTTTTCGTTTAAATATATGCAAAATATTGCATTATAAGAGCCTGTTGAATTCATGCAATAAATCAGTTTTGAAGTATTTAAGTCTTGTATTTTTTTTTGGTCGGAAATTTGGATGCCATGTATTTTTTTGGGTGTAAAATTTCAGGTTTGAGTATTTTTTGGGGGTTGCAATATGAAGCTCCGTCGGACGCCCCCGTCATGTTACCCACCTGAGTACACCCCCTGGGCTTCATTGATCACCTTCAGACTTATTATGGAGTATATTTGTTGCTTTTTATGTGTGTTTTTTTCTGTCCTGCTTTATTTTTTAAGTAGTAGTGATTAATATTGATAATAATAATAATAGTTATCTTACCTTTCTGTAAAGGATTCCTGTAGTGGCTGCTCTAAATCTCATTCCAAGTAACGCCGAGCGATTTTGATAATGATGTTGAGCAAGATTCCTTCCTAAAGATGTGATACATATTCCAGTGGGTAGAATATACTTGAAAGACGCTCCTAGGTCTCTTATGCCCATTAAATAAGATATTAAAAAGCCTAAGAGAACAGGCAAGGTCATTCGGTTGGCCATATCAGTTAATACAAGCATGATGATGCAGAAATATTCCGACCACGGCGACACTCTCATTAATGCCTTCCAAAATCTTGGTCTTTTTCCTTGTTCTTTTTTCTTTAGTTCTTTCCCCCATTCCTTCTCTAAACGATCAGTGAGGACATCAGATTTATCTTCATCTAGTAAAGGAAAAAGATCTTGTTCTTCTAGTGGTCTTTTGCTTCCAATGACAAAAATCTTGTTCATCCATGAGAAGGTAATTTTGGAAAAGATGTTAGCATTGCGTTTAGGGTTAACTTTTTTCTCTTTTTCTTCTTCATTTTCTAACTTTTGATAAGCTGTTTTCCCCATCTAATGACCTTGAATTTCTACACAAGTTATCCGTTATGTCAAGTTGAAGACTGGCAGTGACGAAGTGTTTTTTACCTAAAATTAAACAGAAGATTAAACATTATTTTGAATACTATTCCTTCGACGCGACGAATGACCTGTCGACTGTAACAAATCAAAGATGATGAATAGTTTTTATGCTTGAGTGAATAACGACAGCGATTCATATATAGAAAAAGCCCTTAAACTATATGCAGTGAGCTATGAAGAGATTCTGCTCGAAGGTTGCAATGAGAAGGGAACAGATAAACAGTTAGAAAGGCACAAAATATATGAAAACTCTATGAAGTGTTCACTCTTGTTACAAAGGGATATCTGGAACACTCAAAATCTCAAAATAGGAATGTTCATTTTAAAGACTGACGTTACATTTTTTCCCCATTTTGTTTTCTTGTGGTTGCATATTGCGATTTCTTTTCTCGTCTTTTTAAAGTCTTTTAAGGAATAGTGAAGTTTTTACCTTTTTTGTTTAATATTAACTATCAATATTAAATATCATCTAAGCAACGCGAAATAAAGAATGTGGAATTTCAATACGAGTATATTGGAAAGACACAAAGTAAGTCCAAAATAGTTATAGCCATGAAAACCAAAAAATCATGCTAAAATAAGTAACTTATATTAATAGAATGACTGTAAAGGAAGCTATGAACTTCACAATCTTACAATGACAGTAGAATCGCTCACTATTTCAAAAACATGTACACAAATATTCAGTATGTTAAATAGTGACCACAGTAAATCCGTGAAACACTAATTACTAAAGTACAAAATAGTGCTAATTAAACAATAGAAAACAATGGAATTTGCATGAAATTGTGCTATTTAGTATTACTAAAGTTTCACGGATTTACTGTGGTCACTCTACGTTTTTTTTTTAATTTGGGAGATTTTTATATAGTCTTACGTTAGAATATATTTAGAACCAAGCATGATCTAAATAATAATAGAGGCTCTATTGTATTTTTAAATGACAAAAGTACAAACTCTGGCGTGATTTATTCAATGATTTTTGCTCTCCCTAAAATAATTTCCCCAAAAATTTGACGCGCAGAATGGCAGTTGGAAAACTTTACTTTGCCGGAAGGAAAAGTAGTTACTTTTGACGTAGACTTTTAACTAAGTTACTAGGTAGCAAATCTCAGATAGTAGGACTAAGTTTATCTCTCTATATGTCAGGGTTTGAAATAAAGCCTTCGCCTAAATTTTGCGTTGTAATTCCATAATGTTAAGTCTAAAAAAATTTAAAAAAAAACACTAAATTTTCTCTTAGAGACTGTAAACGATCGAAGCAAGTTAGGTCAAGTTTGTATCTATTTTCTTAGTTTTTTTTTATCATATTCTTGGTTCTAATTTATTAATTTATTAAGTCTTTACGAAACAGTTTATTTATTAGTTTACATATGCAGGATACATATAGGTAGGATGTTTTAGGAGACGCTCGAGATTAATTTTAAAAATTGGTCTTATTAAAACTAAATCCATATTTAAAACTTGAAAAGACGAAGACTAAGGAAACTATAGGAACAATTACGTTTTGAAATAAGAAAGTTCTTGAAATAAACTTATAGTTTCCTCCCCAAGAATTGAATTCAATCTATTATAAAATTAATAAGTTTTCAGAATTTGCAGTGGGAACATTTTGTCTATTTTTTCCTAGGATTTCTACCGCTTTTGGCATCTTTCCCATTGCAAAAAAACGAACGAATTGACTGATCAAGATCGTTAATAACTGATTTTTAAAAGTATGAAATGCGATTTCAACAGCCTTCTACTTAACTAGATTCTTAGTTAAGACTGATTTAATTTTACTGGGATCAAGAGAGTATGAAGTATTCATGACTCTTGCTCATATAGGTTTTTAATTAAATAGAAATACTTATTGTAAACTTGTGATTATAGTTTTTATAAAGATTATGTATCCTAAAGACGTCTCTAGTAATTCATACGCAAATGATCGACATATAAGATTTTCCTCTTTGATTGGGATTTTAATTATTTTGGACGATTAAACAAATACTCATCATATTAAAATGTGTACGTTGTTCGTAGAATAAAAACCCCTCAGGAGACCAACGCGTTTTTTCATGTTAACCGGGTGAGTTACCTGTTACTGTGGAAGTTCCTTGATAGAATTTTCCTTCGTAGGCAATGTCTGTAATTTCTTTAATGAAGCATTTCCAAATTCCATTTTGAAACAAAAAAAACCTTTAAACTTCTTATTGCTAAATATATACACTTTTGGTTTTATTTCTAAAGCTTGTTCCTTGAATTTTGTTTATATTTTCAGGATTTTCTCGTTGATATAAAAGGTTTATCTTTGGGTGAACAATTCTATGGAATCACTTAGATTTTCCACCAGTCGACCTGTTTTCTTATTTAGTAAACTTTTGTCGACCCTTCTTTTAAAAAACTTCAACTCCACATCAGTTTGGAATCATTTTCGGCGCATTTATCAATTTTATCTAAACCATTTAACTTGCGCGACTTTTCTTCCAGAGATTTTGAAATTTTAACCTTTATTTTAACACAATTGAAGAGGAATTGATTTTCTGCTTGTTTAAAAAATTGTCGTTTTGTTTTGCTCTTTCATGTATGGTGCCCAAAAATCAACAAAAACAAGAAAAAAAATCTATTGAAATTTATAATTATTTTTAAAGATTCGAAATTTTTGGTTGAAAAGCTTTAATTTTGGCTTCAATTTTACGTTACTTTTAGGTAAGTTAATAAAGTTGGGAGAAAAATGAGTTGCAACGTTCTTCTGGGGATAAGGCGAATATATGAAAAAAGGAAATAAATGATTTCTATATTTTTTCATACCTGTTAAATGTTATTTGTCTTATCCATTTTTCGTTTGATTTACATATCCTTTATCTCATTCATACACCATTGGCCTTGCTCGTAACACTTCTCTCTAACGTCTAAGATATCTATGCTGTAGAGACAACGAGATCAGACCACGTAGGTGAGATTAAAAACTTCGGTAATAAGGTTAGGTCGGGACCATGGTGGGTGGAGTGGACGAACAGGGGCTGGATCGAACCATGAGTGATTACGTCATGATACTAAGAGTGGCACTGGGGAGAGACTGAGAATATATTTGATAACAATCTTTATTGAGGGAAGCTCTTTCACGAAAAAAAATTTCAAAGATGCTCTAACATAATAAAATTAAAGAAATAAATTTTCGCATGTCTGAACGGCGGCGAGTAAGTTCGTAGAAGGAAAATTATACGGAAAATAACTAAAAACCCGAGTATAGCCCAGTTTAAGAAGAGTTCAATCAGAGACGAGAAATGGCTGGAAAACAATGCGCGCGCGCGCGCAGGCGGCAAAGGATACTAGCACTTGAATCCCAGTAGAAAGTGATATTTAGAAAACAAGCTTAGAAATTTATAATTTAAAATCTTTCAATGTGTTTTTATGATATTTATTAATTTTTTTCATAATATTTGATGTAAATATATTTTTAATCCTTTCAAAACAGGCTTACAAAAGCAATTACTTTAAAAATGGATTTTTCTCATTCCGATATTATTTTGTGCTGTCCCTTCTATCCAGTTTTTTATTCCTTTTTCGTTAGAGTTTTTCTTTTCTATTCGTGCCACAATGCACGCTCAATTCCCAATACAAGTTCGCCCTTGTTGACAACCAGTGTTTAGAACTGCAAATTGAAGTGCTTTACCTACTACATCAATTTAATAAAATTGTCATTTCAAATAAAAGAGCAAGAGATTGCAGAAAGCAGAAAAACAAAAACTACGCCTTTAAAAACAAATGCTTACTTAGTTATCTAAAGTATCACTTAGAAAAGATTATCATTGAAGACTAAAAATATCTTTAATCATCTATTATTCATAAAGCATTCAGTCCCTATACTTGGAGTACCATTGTTATTATAAGTCATTATATAATTATACATATTCGGTGTTTTCAAATCGAGAATATTACTCTAGCATAAACTATTTGAATTGAACTCCAATTTAAGCGAAAAACTGATCCTGCAGATAAACTTATTGAGACGAAAAAAATTTTTTTTCAAAAATTGTTAAGAAATGCCTTTTCCTTAGTTTTATTATTATTTGCTTTGTTAAGAAATTTAAATGCTATATATTTTTGAGTGTATTGAATCGTAAGTTTCCAAATACTCAGTGAAATTTTTGAAATTAGTTTTAGAGCTATGCTATGAATTTTTTTATTACTTCTGATAAAAAGCTTTTTTTCGTATGAATCGGAACCCAACATCAATAACCGTGTAAAGTATCATCTAAGTATCAGTATTATTATTCATAAATTGATAAAAGTTATAATTCAGCTCGTGGAAACTAGTTCGAATATGGCAACGGGAATTCAATTAAATAATTTTTTAATAGGGTCAAACTTGTGGTCAGTATTCGCTGCCAACCCTCGCCATTTTGTGCAATTTTCTTTCAAAATACTTATTATTTTTAGATTATTTTTCCCCGCTTATTTTATTTAAAACCAGTTTATTTTATTAACTCATAAAAAGCTAATCACAATGAAAGAAAAATCTATAGTTTTTTCCCTAATTCTCCTTTCTTCATCCCTCCACAAATGATCATGCAACTTCAAAATTAATCAAGTAGAAGAAGGAGCGACGCCGTTGAACCAATGATTTCCATTCCTTGTTTATTCCGCATTCATTCATTTATGCAATCAAATCTGTTCCTATCTCTTGGTATTTTTAAATATACATTGTAATACATCAAAATGACTGTTCAAATCGCATGCAACTATTCGTATAAAGGAGTTGTTTTTTTAAGTTTTAAAACGACAATAAGATAGGCATTTTCCTTAACACAACTAGTGTAGCTTACAATGTATATTGAAATATTGATCTTAACTCAAACGGTGTTTAAAAATGAACAATTATTGAGCAAATCAAATCGGCTTCCTTAACACGTCATCGTAAATTATCATCACGCTATCTCTAATCCTTCGTTCTCTTCCTCAGTATCTATTACTTCGGCAGATAACAAAGCCTTAATCGAGGGTTTACTCCCTCCAACTTCTAAATTCCAATTCGATTACGGAACGAGGGCCACGATTTCTCCAGTAGCATCTGGCTAATAAGTGCTACCCTCGTAAAAAAGGGCGGTTACGTTTAAAACTCGTCTTTATATGAATTACAATTTTATGCTCAACATCATGCATGCAGTAATTGTTGTATGACTTTAAGAGTAGATTCAACTTGGTAAATCAGAACTGTGAACCGATCAAGGAACACGCTAATCTTCCGCTAGTGACAATAAGTTTACTTCACTGAAGATAAAATTAAGATATTTATATAAAAATGAACTCATTAACATGCTC